ATGCTGCAAAAAATGTCTATCAATAGCAGTTCACTTTAGGACAAAGTGGCCACAATAGGTATTTGCTTTTCTAAATTATTGCAATTTTGCTAAATACCTTTGACTCCCTCTTACTGTAATTGGTTTATTATGCGTGCAATGCCCTTTGTATTTGATTTTCACCTAGATGCCATTCATCTTCCCTGAAGGCTACCTCTAAAATGCATGAAATTTCTTCTTGACCTTTTGACTTAGGATTAGTTTTATTTCATACGATAAATTGATTGCATTTTGGAAAAGAAAATTAAATTGTTACTTGGTTATTGGTAAAATAGTCCATAGAGATGATGAATTACCCTATACTGCTGACCTCAATGTATTTCCAAGTGATGAAAGCCACGGGTACAGTTGTCACTGCAAGGGTAATGAATGTAACACAAATTTACTTCCTAGGGATGTTTAGCATAATTGTTGACATGGGAGTACAATTGATATGTACTATTTTGGTGGTTGTTGCTTAGGGCTTGAAATCGCCACAGGAGACTCGAGGTGTGGCGATTCCTTGTCGATAATACACAAACAGGAGGATGAAATAATTTCCCTACGATGCCTTGGAACCACACCTACGCAAGATCAAATGTGTGCTTTTGTCAGAGCATCTTGCCTCGACTGAATTAAGTTTAAATAACAATTGACATGTTACCAAAATTATCTCAATCATTTCTCATTTCACCTAAAATCTCTACTCAAAGATATTTTCTTCCCTACCCTATTCTGCAGTATTTTCCTAATTTTGTGAAATGTTTGTCATAAAGTCAACTTGTCAGGGAAGCCAAGAAAGACTTTGTGATAGGAGCTATGGAGACTCAACCCTAGTCCTCAGTGGTGGCATGGGTCCATGAAGAGCTCCCAGACAGGGCTATGTCCTTCTCCCTGACAGCCAGAGAATAGACACATATTAATCCTTCCTGAAGATTTTGACTTAGTTTACCACTCTTCCTTGACTGCTTCTAATTCTATCTTGGTTTTACCATGCTCTGAAAACTCCTACCTCAACCTTCTAAATGCTGGGATTATAATCCTACGTCAACTAACTCCTCTGATCCCTCTTCCAAAATTGTGGTCACACTTCTTAAGTTTAACCTTGTCTTGTCTCAAATACTATGGGTGAAATAGGAAAAAGAAAAACCCCACAGGTTTGGGGATCATCGAGAAGGTATTTTGTATTCTAGTTGTATTGCTGATCAGCTATGAGATTAGTGCTCTTACTTAGTCTCTCTGTTCCTCAATTTTTGCCTCTGTATCAAAGAGATATGATTATCAGATAGAATTGATTTATAGCTTGTTGTATGGCCTGAGTCTGGGCCATAATAGCATCTCATTAGATGTTGAGTGGCACATCTAAAATAAAAATTACCATAATTTCATTGACATATTTTTCATTGCTAATGTCCCAATTGTTAGCTACATCCCATAGCTGTCTAAGTTTGGGTTTTAAGGAATGCTTTCAAGGCAATGTGGTATAGGTGCTTTAAACACAATGGGGGAGGCAAAAAGTTGGGGTAAAGATCTTCAGAAAGAGAAATCAGCCAACTGCAAACTTTCTGTTTCTATTGATGGTTATCATATGCAAGAATTTGTTTCTGAGATTTTAAAGAAAGAACTATGTAGGCAGAAGTTTCTGTCCCACTAGCAGCTCCAAAATAAACACACAGAAGCTTAATATTAATTATAAATGCTCAGCCAAAAGCTCAGGCTTGTTACTAGCTAATTCTTATGTTTATGTTAACTCACATTTCTTATTTGTGCTTTGCCACAAATGGCTTGGTACCTTTTCTCAGTACAACATGGCCATCTTGCTTTCTCTTCGAGTCTGCTGGCAACTTCAGACTCTGCCCTTCTTTCTCCCAGCATCCTCCTAGTTTTCTTGTCCCACCTATACTTCCTGCCTGGCTACCAGCCAGTCAGCTTTTTATTAAACCAATTCACATGACAAATCTTTATAGTGTACAAAAGGGTTATTCCACAGCAGAACTACCTCATGACCACCATCCACCAAGTTTCATAATTTCCTATTCAGACATGATAACTTGGGAATGAAGGATTATTGTGGTTTTTTACCCTAAATACCCAAGAATTCTTATATTATGCTCAGCCCATGAGGTCCCCCCAAAGTATATTTATAGTGAGGGTACTGGCAAAGCATGACAAAGTGAAATGTATTATTAGCCAAGGCTTTGGTATCTCATCCCAGAGCAGAGTGCTGTCACTCTAATCTGGAAAAGATGATGAACCCCTTTCCTGTGAATGAGATTTGTTTGAATGACATGGAAGCAAAGTGCTCCATCTGGCAGGTATGATTCTGTTAAGCTTACACCAAGGTCACACATCAACACTCCCATGTAGAGGGGAAGACTGGTCTAGACCACATATCAATGAGAAGAAAAGGACCCAAGTCCCTAGTGCCAAGTACTACCCTGGGTGGACCCACTCATCTGAAGTCCTGGGTGGACCCACTCATCTGAAGTACAGAGCTGAGATGCTCCACGGAGAAGGGTGATAGAAAGAAGAAATGAGAGCAGAGGTAGAAAAGAGGGAAAGAAGACTGCATCTAGATACTGACCTAACAAAACTACACCTGGAAAGGGGCACTCACAGAGTTGGACAAATTAACAATAACAAATTATTTCATTGATAAATTAAAATGTGTGAAATAGTAGCACATTGTAGCTTGAGTTTTCCTGCCTGGCCCACAGTCAGGACAAACTCTCTCACCTGCCAGTCCCACAGACGCTCAGACCTGACCAAGTAAACACAGAGACTTATATTGGTTACAAACTGTATGGCCATGGCAGGCTTCTTGCTAACTGTTCTTACAGCTTAAATTAATCCATTTCTATTAATCTATACCTTGCCACATGGCTCGTGGCTTACCGGCATCTTCACATGCTGTTTGTCATCATGGCAGCTGGCAGTGTCTCTCTGACTCAGCCTTCCACTTCCCAGCTTTATTCTCCTCCTTGTCCCGCCTACACTTCCTGCCTAGCCAATGGCCAATCAGTGTTTTATTTATTGACTAATTAGCAACACATTTGCCATACAGAACATCCCACAGCAGCACATGTTCTTCATGTTAAACTATTTCCACCTGCATATCTCATAACATCTCAAGAAGTATTCAGTTGTGCACTAGCTGGGGCTACGTGGGAAGAAGGCTGACATCTTGGATGCTGGTTACTGAAACACCTCTTAGTTGACTTCCTTTTCTGCCTCCTACTATGCTTCAGTTCCCCACACAAATAACACAATTTCTTTCCTCTCATCTAAAACCTTCAGGGGACACAAAATGTTCTCAAGGTGCACAGTCACTGTTCAGACTCCTGAGCTGGCGGGTGCTCACTGTGTTTTGTGTTTGGCTTTAATACTATATATATAGACCACCTCACTGTTCCCTCTACTGTGCCTCAGGTTTCACTGCACTGTTGGTAGACTCTCTACACTTTGTCTTTTCTATGTACTTTATACCTGATGTTCTCTCTACCCAGAATGCTTTTCTTACCCTTCTTTAAGGTTCTAGTCAGTGATCCTCCTGTGGGAAGCCATCTTATAGCTTCCTTGTAGAATTAAATATGCCTTTTTCTGAAGGCTCACAACAGCCTATAATACTGTATTTTATAGTGGCTTCTGATATTTCAAGCTATAGCCCCATCAGCATGTAAACTGAAATTCCTAGTAGGAGTGTCCTATTTATGTTTTATTTTTATTTAGTTTATTATTTGATATATATTTATTGCAACATATACATATTAACTCCTCAACCACATCTGTTGAACTGTTACTGTAGATATAGCTTCCAATTTTTATATACTCTCTCCTACACACCTTTTGAGGTTTTTTCTTTTTAAAGTAGTAATCAAATGTTAAGAAAACTTTTATTACTTTAAAACTGATTTTAATCTTGAGAATCACTGATTTTGAGAACACTAAGATCTAAGGTTTTTGTTCTGATAAGATAATAATGCATTAGATGCAAGGAGAATCAAGATAGCTTTACATGTAATTGAGATAACAGACTTTTTTATTTAAGGCATAAAATTTCATAACCCATGCATAAACTGAAGCAGTTGAACTCACTACATGCCTTTTTACTTGATTTCTGGAGTAATTTTTTGTGGTTCATAGTGTCCTAACATTTGAATGCAGCCCAGGGTGGCTGAATTGATTCTTGTGTTTCTTCTCTGAAAGATGTTTTCAGTGGTTGATAGTGTGAGTTCTGTTTTCAAAAATACCAAGTCCAAAAAGATACAAATGCTCCCTTAGAAAACCTTGGGTGGCACTGAATTGCTTGACTGAAGGATGAGATGTGATGTGCTCAGTGTGATTGCTGTGCGTCTCACCCAGGGTGTCTTTTTTTGGGTAACTCTTCTTGGGAATATTTGCTTAGGGAATGTTGAAGTTTGCAGAGGAGAGGAGTTGTGGATTGGAGAGTCGGGGGCTGCCTGTGACTGAGCTTTGGCATTGGTGCAGGTGGGATTTTCTCCTTAGATTCTAAGTGTTCTCATCAGCTCTTGATGATCTTCATTGAGAAGTAGGGCCTACAAATATAGGTAAAAGAATTCCTAGGTTCCTAAATAGAAAGCCTAAGTACCAAGCATAAGCTCACAACCAAAAAGTGTTTGCCCACCCCATATATATGTTTGTATGTGTGTATATATGCCTGTGTATTTCTCCCTGTCTGTCCAAACAACCCTCTATCTCCAAACTGGAAATAGGTCAGACTGACTCTCAGGTTAGAATTCATTAATGTGAGGCATAATCATCCTAGTCACCTCTCTGGTGTCACTTTTGATGGAAACCAGCAGAGAGATGTTTTGGCAAAGGTATTCATAATTTGTGTTCCTTGCAGGGCTTTCTCTGCAATTGTGTGTCCCATCAGGGACTCTGTTAACTTATTGACAATTTACTATGATTGATGGCAACCAATGTCTTGTTAACATTTTCCTCCACTCTTCACTTCACAGAGCCATGCTAAGACAACCTTTGACTTAAAGAATTAAAAAGAACACCGCTTCTTCAAGTAAGAAGACTTGCTTCAAAGGTAGGATCTGCATTTTTATACTATTTAAATTTTTAAAGGGAATTATATTGTAAAATATGTGATTTGCAGCATTAGTGTCATGTTTAATACTTTTCATCAGAGAGCATGATAAAAGACAGGAAGGAAGACTACAAATGCAGAGACATTTATCATCTTGCTTGCCAAAGAAGATGGATCAAATACACACAGATGAAAATCAGCCTTGCTTTCTATTCATTGTACGGGAGTAATGGTTGTGCTTTACTCAATCATGACTCATTAAGCACAGAAAATAGCACTGTTGATTAAAAAGAAAAACCCCAAAGGAACTAAAGGTTAAAAATTATAGGGTGCTATTAATAAGAAAATCATTTCTATTGGATCTGATCATATATCAAAACCCCGAAAATATGGCATCCTGTTTTTCTGGTATCTCCGAACAATAAAAAGATTAGTCCCAAAAGCTTAAATATGACTTTGAAATGTGTTTCCTGCCTTGTAAATCCTTTCCCAAACCCTTGTTTCCCACTCTTCCCACTGCCCATCCCACTCCACTTGAGTCATGTAGGATTGTTCACTCCAGAACAGACTCTGCTGGGTCTGTGATGCCTTCTGAAAGGCCACCTATTGTAGTACCGCACTGGGTGAAAAATATCTTAAACGGAAATCTGGAACATAGTTCAGAGAGCTAGATCTCAACCAACAAGAGCTCTCTTCAGGAACTGTAAGGGCCCATTGTTCAGATGCCTGGTTCTGTACTTCATAGGTTTCATTAAACAAATGAATTCTCATGGATTTTAATTAAGAAAAGAAGATGGCCTGCAAGATTTTGAGGTAGTAAAATCCTTCCATCATGTTTTGTTCATTGTTCTTGAGGAAAAGTTGATCTACTGAGATGTCATTTTTGTAATTAAGAGGAAATGATTCATGCCTCTGGCTGTATTTGCTATCACTGTGCTGTCTAGAAACTGATTTCATATGATGGATTTTTATGGTATTCTAAAACCCTGTCAGAAAACCTCCATTTCAGTGGGCTAGAAATGAACATTGCTTGTGATGATAGCAAGCCTTCTGTAGGCAGTTTGTGGCATGTTTGCTATGAGGGGCGGAGAGATAGCAAGTCAAGTGCTTACTTTTAGGTTGTAGTTTCTAGTGCGGGGGGGTATACCAGAAGGCAAGGTAAGTCAAGTGACCCTGAGGATCACTTGAAGTTGTACTTGAAGGAGGCAGTGATAGGACACAACCTGAGTGCTTTCCCATTTAGTAAGGCATTGTGGGATGGCTCTAAGGGAGTTTTCCTGGCAGGCAGGATATGGTACTTTCTCATTGATGTTGTTCAAAAAGATGGTTGGCTTTCAGAATCTCTTGTCTTTTAGAGAAGGAAGTGAAAAGACTGCATTGCACCTTTCTCAGTACATACTTGCTGATCTGTTTGGCTAGCTTTTTAAGCGACTAATGAGAACTTTCACTTGGCAGGCTGTTAGAGCTTCTGAAATATCTCATTTTGTCTTTGTGAATGGACTCATCTGGCCAAAACTGAACACTGAGAATCTTCCTAATTTTTGTCCCTTGCTTCACAAAGACGCACTGAAATGTCTCAAAATTCTAAAGCATGCTTGTATTCCGAATGTCCCCAGGCTGTTCAGCCATTGGCCTCTGACATTAGACTAAGAAAGTTGTGGGGGTGAGGAGGGTGAGCAGTAGAAAACTAACTATAGCAACTTAGTTTTCAGTTGAATTTCCCACAGTAGTTAGTGCATTGTGGCGCCTAAAAGATTCGAGATGCCAGGGCTGTGGACTGTTTGGGAAGCCAACATCCATCCCAGATCCTTCTCTGAGAGGTGGTAGTTGTCTCTTCCTGTCCCATGTTGGATATGATAAACAGCATTTATCATTTACCATGATGTGCAAGTGTTCTCGTGGAAAGTCTTCATTCCTGTCTTATTTGAAAGTGACGCCCAAGTTTCCTTAATTTGGAATTTCTTTAATGTGCCAATGTGAGGAGTAGGGGCATATCTGCCATCACACCCTTGAACTGGTTTCCACCATGGCTATATTACTGCATCTGAAGAACCCATGCGTCTTGAAGCATGTCCACACTTGGCAGATTGTGAAAAAGGGAAAAATTCTAGCAGTCTAAAAGACTATTGGAACTGTTTGATTGTTAATGACTTGAATGCTGTTCTTTTGCCTGGACTTGTGGGATTCAGTTGTTCATTTATCTTAGAATGGTAATCATATTCTCAATAGGTAATAGAACTGACAGGAAGATCTGATTTTATAATTCAGTTGATTTGTAAATAGAAACAAGTATTTCATTGGAAAACCTAAACAGTATTAAACATAAGTTTAATACTATCTAACAGAGAAGGGATCTTTCTAAGGCTCAGAAGTTTATCTCATGTTATTAGATACTAGTCAAAACCAGGAGACACAAAGTGTCTACAGAAAGACTATATGCCTGCCCCTCCCCTCAACCTGGAAATGGAAAGCTTATGAATAATTCAGTTACCCTGGGAGTCCTAGAATTTGCAAAAACCAAGACAAGGATATAAATTTCTTTATTATTTTATTCAGTTGAGTTTACTTGATGTTTAGACATGGAGAAAATAAGAATATCCTTTTGTTGTAGTTGCTAACTCTAACTCTCTCTTTACCCAGATGTATCGAGAAGACAATATCCAAATATCAACTAAGTGACAGCATCTCTTAGGCATTGCCACATGCACTGACCCTCTATGGTGGTCACAGCAAGCTTTTCCCAGATGAGTTACTCACCCACAGGCAGCATTCCTTGGAAGTCCAATAATACATTGAGTAATGTTCTGTTCTTACATCCCGTGTATTGCCCAGCTTTTGTTATACACACACACACACACACACACACACACACACTGCACTGAGAAACTTCTCTGGGTATGGTTTGAGAACTGCACTGCTCTATAAATATAGAAATATGGATTTAGCAGGTAGTTTGATACTGTGTCTATTTAGCAAACTAATAGTAGTAGGTTCACCTCTAGGACCTATAAGCTCCATTATTGTTATTTTATTATTATTATTTTGGCAGCAGATTTTACAGTACTGGTGAGATACTTTCATCCTGTGAAATAGCCCTTAAATACAATAAAAAGCTATTGATTACTTCCATAACATTTATGCTACTATTATGCTAAGTGGCCATATGTTGCCACACAGGTTGTTACTTTAGCTCATAGAGTTTCAGGAGAAAAACTCCATAGCAGCTGATATAGTACCTTCTAGTACTATGATAGCTAGCCACAGGGGAGGAATTCCTTGCTCAGTCTAACTGATTTTTCATGCCCTGGACCAAAGGTTTGTTGTCTTCAGCAACAGTGTCAACTACCCAGTTCTGTAGGCCACCAAGCAATGTCAACTGTTTGTGTTGTGTTAGAGGGTCTTGGGACAATTGTGAGCAACATCTAGAGGGGAAATATCTCACACCTGGCACTGGGCTTTCTAGTTGACAACCTATGGCTTCTAGGAGGAGCTTTATTTCAACTAAACTTTTAAAAAGCTTTGACTTATTTATTGTATGTGTATGAGTGTTTTTCCTGTACACACATGCATGTCTGGTGACCATGGAGGTCAGAAGGTCTCTGGAATTGGAGTTACTGATGGTTGTGAGTGCTGGAAACTGGGCCCAGGTCCTCTGCAAGAACAAGTGCACTTATCCATTGTGCCATCTTTCTAGCCCCATCTGATTATAGCCTTTTATAAGATGCTTTTTAGGAATCTTAGAAAATGGTACTTTCCATGCGGCTTTTACAAATGCTCTCAGTGTTTTTTTACTCATGTCCCAAATCTCTCCTTGCCCTACCCTATCATCTCCCTCCCCACTTAAACCTCCCTCCCCATTATTCCCTTTGTTCATTTATGCGTGAAGTCTAAGCAATGCCATGTGTCTTGAAGTTATATGGAGTTATATTAAATTCCACGCACAGTGAATCTATATGGAGGCTGAATTCTACATTGCCTGAGACTGATCTCCAGAGTGGCATCAGTAACTGAGATGCCTTCATTAATTGCATTACTTCTGCCCCCTTCCTTCTGTCTTCATGTTTCTTGAGGGACTCACCACTTTTCCTATGGACAGCTTGCCCTACTCCTCCTCCATTACTCCTGCCTGATCCATCTTGTAACCATTTCTGAAAGCTCAAAAAGTCCATTTGGGTGGTGTCTCAAGAAAGAAACCAACATTTGCCTTGGGAGCTAGCTGGGCACACGGTGACAGAAGGAGGAGAAAGATGGGATTATGGTTTTGTAGCAATAACAATCACTGTTAGTATTCAGTAAGAAATCCTGCAACTTGCATGCATCCCTAGCTCTCTTCCCACTGTAGTCCAATAGGGAGCAATACCTGCTTTGACACTGGAAGGAGATGCTTGCCTGACTCACTCCAGTGCTGGAAATGTCCAACAGCTTAGCATTTAAGTACCACACGGCTGATACAGTGACCTTTGTAAAGAGCTCATGGAGGACACCAACTGCATCAGATTGTTTATCCTGCTGCACTTCTGACTTACAACTTTTCAGTGTTTCATAGGGTCGCCAGAATTAGAGCTGGTGATGGGATATGGCTTCCTCAGTGGGCTGTGTTTTGCAGGATGCTTTAGTGACCTGAAAGACATTTTAATGACCACAGAAGTATACCATACTGAGGGAAGCCACCCTCCTGTGGCCCTCATTCTTAGCAAATGTGAGCTCTATTAAAATAATTTAACCTATACAAGGCATTTTATTCCAAATTATAATAACAAATGGTACCCCTTATTCACACATCACAAACAGCCCTTTAGTGAACTTTAAGAATTGTGAGGTATGAGATGCCTGGCAGGGATGCTTCAAACCTCCTGTGTTCAGGTCTGTGTGTACTCAAGGCACAAAGACATGTGTGCCTAGGTGCTGGGAGGGTGTTATCATGCCCCTCCATTCCAGCATCTGGACATTTCATCCCTGGCTGCTTTTGCAGTGAGTTGAATCCTGACAGGAGGGTTATC